TGCCCCACACTCTCTCTCTCCCCCTGTTGCCCCACACTCTCTCTCTCCCCCTGTTGCCCCACACTCTTACCATATTTGCACTCTCCATCGTGGGTTTTGTGGATTTTCCCCTGGAGCCGGTGGACGGACAGCCAGCTGGCCAGGTGCAGGGCGCAGATGGTGGGGTAGGTGCTGCCGTCCGAGCCGCACACCGGGTAGTCGTGCTTGCAGACGCAGAAACCGGTGCCTTCCTGCTCCTCTTGCTCCTTCCCCGGCCGCTGACCGTCCGCCGAGGTCAGGCACACGTAGCCCGGGGCACAGCGGCCGTGCTGCAGCCCCGCTCCCCCGCACAGCTCTCCCTGTACCCCCAGGCACCGCTCACAGCAACCGCACTCGTCCTTGGCCCGGAGCTCGGGCACTTGGCACTGGACAGGCGGGCAGGAGCTAACCTGGCAGGGACCGCACTCGGCTCGCACTCCGTGGCCCCAGCACATCGCCCCCAGCAGCAGCAGCAAACCCCGTTCCATGCCGCCGATTCACCCGCTTCCAGAGTGACTGACACCCACCCAGTACACCGGCTCTTAGCTCCGTCCCCCATCATTCATTATTCATGTGCATCTCCGATTGGACCAGTGTCAGATCCCAAATAAACCCTCCTCAGCACATTCCCAATCAGTGATTCACCACTTCACCACATAACCAGCAAAGTCTCTCTAGAGGCTTTCCTGTTCATCTCAACTCCACCTGCCGCTCCCCTCTCCTCTCGACTGTGTGTGCGACACACAGTGTACACATCCCACTCTCTGATTGTGTGTTGCAACAGCGTGCACACATCTCACTCACTTACAGTGTGACATACCGTGTACACAATCCACTCTGTGTGTGGGACTCACCGTGTATACATCCCACTCACAGTCGGTGTGTGTGACACACCGTATACACACCCCTCTCAACTGTGTGTGCAATACCGTGTACACATCTCACTGACTGTGTGTGCGACACACTGTGTACACATCCCATTCAATGTCTGTGTGTGCCACACACCGTATATATATATCCCACTCACTGTGTGTGTGCGACACACCATGTACACATGCCACTCACTGACTGTGGGGCACACTGTGTACACAGCCCACTCACTGACTGTGGGACACACTGTGTACACACCCCACTCACTGACTGTGTGCAACACACCATGTAGACTTCCCACTCACTGATTGTGTGTGAGACGCACCCTGTACGCATCCCACTCACTCACTGTGTGTGAGAGACACACCGTGTACGCATCCCACTCACTGTATGTGCAACACACCACACCGTGTACACATCCCACTCACTGACTCCACCCCCTTTCCTGTCAGGTCAAGTGCTGCTGTGGGAGAAGGTTTTCAACAACTTTGTCTGACAGTTCATGTAATAAGTTTTTATGGCCCATGAGATGAAAATGATAACTTTTCAATTTTCCTTAAATAGCACCTCAAGATAGTCAGGTATTGCAAATAGACAAAAGGGTATCTCCACCCCCAAAGTCCTTTACTGTCAACCAAGTAACATTTGAAGTATAGTCACTGATATATTGAGGAAACTGGACAGCCCATTGTGTACAATCATCTCTTACTATGGATTACAAGATTATTTGTTACTATCAAAAACCATGTTGTTTTAGGCTAAAATAAATTAACTAGGACTCTGGGACAACTCCTTAGCTCATCAGAAAGTGCATGGAATAAAAAGAGAAAATGCTGATCAGGTCTAGCAGAACCAATGAAAGCAGAGGCAGAGTTACTGTGTCAGAGTGATAACCTTTCATTTGTGCCATGGAACATTTCACATCCCCTGATCGGGCAGAGGTGAAAGATGGGACACCCAACTGTGCAGCACCGCCTCAGCATTGCACTAAGATATGTGGTGACCCATATGCTACTGTTTTAGTGTTGGCAGACGGTACCTGATCATTTAAAGGGGTCATAGAAAGGAGTCTCTGGGGATTCTGTGCTATGAGGGCTGTGGTGAAACAAGTGAGGGAGGGTTCATAGACATACACCTTATTGGCATTAATGGGAACATTGAATGGAATATGGCTCCTGGTGAATGTGACATAAGGGCTGAGCAATTGAGTGGGATTTCAGTAATTCCACGTAATGGAGGCCAAGTTGGAAAGATTGTGACATTGAATGTGTTGCCACATGGAAAGTAATGCAAGTGCTTTTAGCTATGTGAATGTATCTTTGTTGTATCGACAATGTAAAGTGAAATTTACATTTTTGTTTGAAATATCATTCAGCTGTTAATTAATGCTTGAATTAGGTTGATTTTAGTTAGTTTGTTACAGTAAAAGTTATAAAAAGTGAAATCTTTGGAGATGCACACATTTCTGCAATTGGGCTCCATAGCCACTGCAGGAAACACAACAGATAAATCTCTGCACTCTGAAATTAAAGTAAAACTGACCAGTGAAGAGGGCCATCTCAAGATTGTCAAGCAAATCTTCTAATAAGCCGCTAGTGGGGATCTTCTTTTTCATCAAAAACACATGAAATAGATGGAACATCTGCCATGCTTTGAATTGATTTGATTTATTGTAGTCACATGTACCTAAGTACAGTGAAAAGCTTTGTTTGCGAGCAGTACAGACAAATCATAGCAAGCAAAGACATACAGATCATAAGGTGCTTAGACAGAGGTTACAACTGCAAAGGAGGTGTGCAAAGCAATATCAGCATTAACAAGGTCAACATTATTTGAAGGTAGAGAGTCCATTCAGCAGTCTAATAACAGCAGGGAAGAAGCTGTTCTTGAAACTGTTGGTGCGTGTGTTCAAGCTTCTGTATGGTCAGCCTGATGGAAAAGATTGGAAGAGAGCATTACCAGAGTGGAAGGGGTCTTTGATGATGTTGGCAATATTTCCGCGGCAACGAGAAGTGTAAAATCGAGTCCATTGATGGGAGGTTGGCTTCCATGATGGTCTGGGCTGTGCACACAAATTTCTGGGTTTCTTATGGTCCTGGACAGAGCAGTTACTGTACCAGGCTGTTGTGCACCCAGATAAAATGCTTTCCATAGCATACCTCTAAAGGTTGGTGAGGGTCCTTATGGACATGCCGAATTTCCTAAGCCACTTGAGGAAGAAGAGACGGTGTTGTGCCTTCTTGACTGTCACATCTACTTGGGAGGTCCAGGACAGATTTTTGGTTATCATCACCTCTAGCAACTTGACACTCTTGACCCTCTCCACCTCAGTTCCGTTGATACAGATAGAGGTGTGTCTTCCTCCCTTCCTCTTGTAGTCAATGATCTGTTCTTTTGTTCTGCCGACAATGAGAGAGACGTTCTTTCCACTGCACCACAAGACCAAGTATTCTATCTCCTTCCTGTCTTCTGACTCTTCATTGTTTGATATCCGTCCTACCACAGTGGTGTTCTCAGCAAACTTGTAGGTGGTGCTCATTTGGTATTTGGCTACACAGTCGTGGGTGTAAAGGGAGTACAGTAAGGGGCTGAGAATGCATCCTTGTGGGGTGCCAGTGTCAAGGATTATCATGGAGGAGGTGCTGTTGTCTATCTTCACTGATTGCGGACTATGGGTCAGGAAGCTGAGGATCCAGCTGCAGAGGGCAGAGCTGAGACCCAGATCTTAGAGTTTACTGATTAGGCTGGTAGGGATTATGGTGTTGAAGGCAGAGCTGTAGTCGATGAGTAGGAGCCTGACGTAGGTGTCCTTGTTGTCCAGATGTTCCAGGGATTAGTGTACGGCTAGGGAAATGGCATCCACCGTGGACCTGTTTCACCAGCAGGCAAATTGCAGGGGAATCGAGGCACGTTGGGAGACTGGACTTGATGTGGGCCATGACCAGCCTCTCGAAGCACTTCACGATTATGGAGGTCAGAACCACTGGGTGATAGTCATTAAGGCACGTGGCATGTATTTTCTTTGTACTGGGAAGATGGTGGTCTTCTTGAAGTAGGTGGGGACTTTGGCTTTGTGGTCCAAACTAATCAGATGAGGCACACACCAAGTTGTCTCATGATCATAAGCAGGGTGAACTGTCAATACTCATGGTGCTTATAGTTCATAACTAGACCGTTGCGGTCTCTGGGAAATCTGTTGGGGTTCCTATTACTTAAATGTAGCCAGCAACCCATGCATAGGAGGTGGTCCTTGCTGCATCCTGCATCTGTTACTGTTTCTAAAGTGATGACTCAGAGCCCCCTGTTTCACCAAAGATTGGAAAATGTCATTATGAGGAAGGAGGTCCCCTTGCACAATGAAAGATGCAGAGTGAAATGCAAAATAGTTTGGTGACAAAGAGCAGACATGACTTAGAACATGAATGTCATGCTGAGGATCTGCTAGCAATGTCAGAAAGAATATAATGTCTTGGAGGCTGAAGTGATAATGCAAGACATGAAATCAGAGGTACCATACTCTCTTTGCAAGTCTGTTGTTATGATCGCAACTGATGTTATAATTGGACAAGTAAGATCCCAGACTGAAATTTGACTTAATAGATCCTATTTTGGTTGTTTTTTGTTTTAACAAGTGATATTTTACTGAAGGATCAACACACAATGCTGTAGATTCAGTTTCAACATAGAGTCATAGAGTTATACAGCATGGAAACAGACACTTTGGTCCAACTTGTCCATGCTGACCAGATATCCTAGATAAATATAGTCCCATTTGCCAGCATTTGGTCCATATCAATCTAAACCCTTCCTATTCATATGCCCATCCAGATGCCTTTTAAATGTTGTAATTGTACCAGCCTCCACCACTTCCTCTGGCAACTTGTTCCATACATACACCACCTTCTGCGTGAAAAAGTTGCCCCTCAGATCCCTTTTAAATCTTTCCTCTCTCATCCTAAACCTATGTCCTCTAGCTTTGGGCTCCCCCTCCCCAGGGAAAAGACATTGTATCATTACTCCATCCATGCCCTTCATGATTTTATAAACCTCTATAAGATCCCCCCTCAGTCTCTGATGCTCCAGGGAAAATAGCCCCAGCCTATTCAGTCTCTCCCTGGCAACATTCTTGTAAAGCTTTTCTGAACCCTTTCAAGTTTCACAACATCCTTCCTATAGCAGCGTGACCAGAATAGCACACAATTTTCCAAAAGTGACTTTACCAATGTCCTGTACAGCCACAATATGACCTCCCAACTCCTGTACTCAAAGCACTGTCCAATAAAGGCAAGCATACCAAATGCCTTCTTCACTATCCTATCTACCTGCGACTCCACTTTCAAGGAACTATGAACTTGCTCTCCAAGGTCTCTTGGTTCAGCAACACTCCCCTGGACTTTACTATTAAATGTAGAAGTCCTGTCCTGATTTGCCTTTCCAAAATGCAGCACCTCACATCTATCTAAATTAAACTCCATCTACCATTCCTCGGCCCATTGGCCCATCTGATCAAGATCCTGTTGAACTCTGAGGTAACCTTCTTCGCTGTCCACTACAGCTCCAATTTTGGTGTCATTGTCAAACTTACTAACCATACCTCTTATGTTCACATCCAAATCATTTACATCAGTGACTAAAAACAGTGGACCCAGCAGCGACCCTTGTCACTGGTCACAGGCCTCCAGTCTGAAAAGCAACCCTCCACCATCACCCTCTGTCTTCAACCTTGAAGTTAGTTCTGTATCCAAATGGATAGTTCTCTCTGTATTTCATGCGATCTAACCTTGATATCCAGTCTACCATGAGGAACCTTGTCG